ATATTATAAATATACCTGTACTGGGCTGCACAGACGTCATAGGAGCTAAGTTTGTAGCATAACTGTGGTCCAAGGTCGGATCTATACGCTCACAATTATTTCTATGCCCTGTTTTTGGTCCAGAACATCTTCTCTTAGGTGTAGATCTGTGAGAAAAAAGTGTAGGCACGGGATCACGCTTCAGCATTCTTTCATCCTTCCTGTGATCTTTCTGAAAATGAGCCTATGAGAGATAATGATTTCTAACCTCAGTATAAGTAAGAACTATCTCGATGTTTAGAATCTATTTTAGATCGAAATTACCTGGTATATAAAGTTTCCAATTCTGTTATTTATCGTAATAAATAGCTGGTTGACATTCGCTTGTCATAAGCCGATCGGAAGCTGGCCTCATAATGGCGTCCATAAACCACGTGATCGGCAGTATCCAATCATATTTTGACTTCCCAGTTGACCATACTCTGTTTATAGAGGGCCCTAGTAAATAATTGCTAGGGGCGCCCCTAGTGGCCGTTTTGGCATACCGTGACAGAAACCGGTTATATACACTTAATAACGATTTGTTAAGTTTCCTACCAATAGATAGCACTACGTGTACTTTAAGTATAAATATATCAAAAAATTCACTGCTGAACCGATCCCGCTGGTAGTCGGGTCAGCTCCGCTCCACCCTTATACTTGCATTGCAACGTGCAGTCTGAGCTCGCACCGCTGGTAGCCTTTTTTTTCCACTCAAACGCTCCGCCATCAGGCTTGCGTTGCAGCGTGCAGATTGAGTTCGAACCACCATTCGCCTTTTTCTTTGTTTTTTCTCTCAAACGCTCCTCCATCAGGCTTGCGTTGCAGCAGCAATGCAGTCCTGGGTTCGCGCCTGCAGTCGCCTTTTTTTTTTCCTCTTTAAAATATCATTCATCTCGGCAGTTACGTCCACACACAGCTAACTTAGATAATATCGAACATCGTATTCCAAAATAACTATTGGGTTTCTGTAAATCAATTGATTTATATCCTCATCCGTAGTGCCATCAATTGGCAGGAAATTTAACGAACCGATAAAAATAAATATAATTTTTATAAAAAGAATATAACTTTAAAATATATATATTATATTCACTTAATAACGTTTTGTTAAATCATTTTATTAAATTAAAAACATAAATCCGACATTTAAACAAAATATAAATTTTTATTTTGATTTTAATATTAATGCAGGTAGCGCATGGTGACTTTTCTTCATAATTAACATTTAAAAATGTATGTGATATCCTTTGTACTACATAACAATCGGTATGACTATAATGCCTAATAAATACCCAAAACTTTACTGTATTTTTTTACCTGACTGTAATTATTAGTAGTATAATTACGTATAAATCAGTAGTATATTAGTTATGGCGAGTCGATTCCCGGACCATCTGGATAGTATTCCGTGCTCATTTCAATCGGTCTGAATCGTAGGTGCACGAAAATATGAAATAAAATGGTTCAAATTCTTACAAGATATTATTATTATTTATTGTGAAATTTTGTCGCCCCTAAAATGTAATTTTGCGCCCCTAAAAAGTGCCGCCCGGGGCGGGCCGCCCCCACTACGCTACGCTACTGAAGTACGTGTTCTAACAGAATAAAAAATCAATTCATAAATAAAATAGTAAATGTTACTATTAGATCCATACAAGTACAAATGGAGCTCTTGACGAGATATAGTATGTATTAATATACAATCGACCCCCTCCTATAACACGGTAGATACGTTCCGCTTTTTATGAAATTCATGTTCTACGAGTCCTTAAATACATGAACCAATCACAGCTCGGCACGTATGCAGTTTACGGACTACAGCTGTTTGAAAGGTTTTCTTCCATAAAATTAATCGATTCTAAATTAATTTGACTCAACATTTCAAAACACGTATAATTTTTTGATAATAACTCATATAAACTATGCTATAAACAAAAAATTGTAGGATTACTTACCGAGTGTGCACCGTTCGACGACGCCATTGCTTAAGCTTGTTTTCGTCGCGGAGCGGTGCATCGAACGGCGGGCGCGTTTCCTGATAAATTACTTTCCGCGAAAAATTTGCTGAACTTCGGAGATATCATTAATATAAACGTAATTTTTATGGCCGTTAAATAATAAATGGTTTTTAGTAGGTCCGCTGCTCGTTTAAACTCAACGGTTTGTGCAATATCCGCTATTAGTCTAGATTCGACCAATCCTGTCACGACACGAGTCAGCGATGACGTTCTACCGTATTTACGAGTTTCTTTTAGCGTGTTTATACGAATACGGTCGCAATTTTTTCTCGCTATATACGAATCCGCATTATACGAACCCGTATTATAGGGGTCTACTACTGTATATTACAGTAGTAGTTAGTGCAATGGTTTTTCTCATGTGTTATGTGTTTTTAGCTGTCTCCAGTAAACTGGAAAACGGTTGATTTTTAATATTGTTTTGAGAAACAGTTCCAGGTTTTTTAGTTTTAAATTTTCTATTTTTTAGTCTTTAAAATTCCAGACATGCTAATTTTGGGGTCTACATTTTGCAAAGGGACCAACTGTTCCTTTAGCTTATTTACTCTTACGGGCGAGGTCCACAGCTTTGATCAGGTGGCAATCGCCTCATTCTGAGCTACATTTATACCTCAACACCTACATATTTATAATTGTAATAATAACCTAATAGTAACTTATACTATACAAAGTTTACCTTTAGTATATAACTGCTGTTAATGTAGTTTTCCCATGATCAACGTGACCAATGGTTCCGATATTGCAATGTAGTTTAAAATGGTTTTTTCCACTGTGATAGATATTAGACCAGAAAAGTATCTACTATGTATTCTGATGCCGCGAACCTATATAATCGCCGACATACTCGGTGCGAAAGGGATATAAGGATTAAATTAATTATTTAAAACTCGTACGGAAATTTAAAATATCTGTATCTCTATTTCTTTTTTCGAAATTTTTATTTTTTTTATCAATCTGTTCTAATTAAAGAAGTTCAAACATCATTTAACATAACGTGAAAGTCCACATCGTTCACCATGTTTATTGTTTTTCTCTCCCGAAATTCCCGACAGTCAGCGTTTGTGTTCTCTAGAAAACGTCAGCAGTTGCGTCACTTCCGGCAGCATTTTGCTGGATTGACGCTGAGATTTTGAATACGTTCATTGATTTCCTTACCTGTCCATTATTTTTGTTTGACAGAGTTGAATCGTTTGGACCACGTGGCGTGAAAAATTTTTTCAAGGTCCTCATGAGAATGTGCAGACGACTGAAACGTGTGACATACATGTGAAAGAGAAAGACATTTGCATGTGCAACCATCTGTATGTAGTTGAAGTCGACCGATAGATACCATGTGTGTGTCGTGATTGGATAAATCAAATTTGCAAGCAGTGACACTAGTGAGACTTTATTAAACTAATTTTTTCGCATTTTCTCGTTAATGCATGAAATATTATTTTGTGCCATAAATGGTACTGAAATATTATAATGTACTGAAAATGTACCCGAAAAGTACAAATGTACTAGGAATGGCAACTTTGGGACCCAAAATGGTACGTCATCTTTGGTTAGGCTATAAATTATCTTTTTTGCGAATTAATTTATTTTTACAATTTCTCGTTATATATTAAAAGTACCAGCATATAATTATGATGTTAAAATTAAACAATTCGTGGCACCACGTCATTCCTTTCATGTCGACATTAATTTATCTAAATGCTTCAAGATGGCGCTATCCGGTTAAAAATTAAAATCACGCGTCCATGATTATCTAATGCCAAATTCTTTCGCTACAAAAAAAAAAAAAAAAAAAAACTAAAGACGCACATCTACCGCGTAACTTTTGGCCATTAGGCTAAGACTCCACTACCGTAAAAACACCTCGCCGTAAAAGCTTTTAATCACGTGACCTACTTGCGTTTGCGCTCGGATTACGGTTGAGGTCCGGCTAGCGCGAGGTTTTTACGGAAACGGTGCTGCCCCAAGTGTCGAAAGTAAATACTTCTTCGCACGTGAATTGGTAGAAACGAAAGACGGTTGTATACATGATATATCGATATAAAGACAATGATTATATTCTACGAGTTTTTTCTGTACTATAATTACAAATGTAGTAAAAATAATATCCTTACTTTCATATACTAACTTTTATTATCGTATTATTAAGATAATATACAGCACTTATAAGCTTAGCTTTTTTATTATATACTCCTCTAAATTAAAAGATTTCCTTTGGTATCCATTATTATAATCAGGTTACCTCTTGTCGTAGATACACGGAAACTTTCGGATGTTTTCGACAAATCTTTCCGGATCTATTCTAGAGTAGCCACGAGGGAACGTACACAAAAGCTCGTTTTCCGCCATTTTAGCTCCGTGTCGCGATGACCTAGATTTCGCTGACTTCTGATTGGTGGAAGGTACCTCTTTACGGCCGTATTCGCGTCGAAAGTTGAACATAGCTCAACTCGCTTTTACGCTGGTTTTACGGCCTGCTGAAGCGTAAGATATCAGAGTCACGTGATTAAAAGCTTTTACGTCGAGGGGTTTTTACGTTGTTTTTACGGTAGTGGAGTCCTAGCCTTAGCCTTACAACTTAGTTTCGTGCACTGTAGTCGAAGCCTTATTGAGACGTTTCCTATATCTTAGTAAAATTTTTCCTATTCTTTTATTCTTCTTTTCTCCCAGTATAATAATATCATAAAAATTTCATAAATAAATTCATGAAAAAGTTTTACTGAAACAGAAACATAGCACAAGCGGATTTTACAAGATAAATACATTTTGTTATTATATTTTTAAAAATTTTAAATTTTAATAAAATAATTAAAATTAAATATAATATAAATATTTAAAAGTGGATAAATAATACGATGAAATATTTTATAAAAATTCGATAATGCAATTACGATTTAAATATATATGTATTTAAAAAAAACCATTGTAGTTTTTATTATTGAATATTCAGGCAGGTGGCGCGTTGTCATAACTTCATGCCGCTTTCTGTCATTAATTAAATATAGAAGGATTTAGGGAAGAATTACTGAAGTACATTTTTATTTAATAGTGAATTAGTTCTCAAGAAACGAATGTGAATGGGTTGATAATGGACAGAATAAAGTTTCCATCATTACCAGATGCTGAAGAAACTGTGGTATGATTTATTATTTTAAGCCTAATTTTCTGAAGATTTCTATTGATCTTGTTTTTAATGGATTTTTGTTGTCTGGAAATGTTGAAATTAAACATAAATTTAAAAAAAATGAATGATAATTAATTGTGTAAGCGCATCAGATTGACATTAAACTGCGTTAATTTGTTACAATGTAAATATGTGAAAATATTTTCATAAAAATTACATACAACTTATTCATTTTTTAAAAACATCAATAGAAATATTCAGCTAAGCCATTTCTTATTACATTATATATTTTAATGTTAAATTATTTGTTTACTATTGTTTCCAACCTGTTGAAGACTTACCGAAGACTGTATACATGATAATTTAATTTTTATTGAAACCATTTCATTACAGTTAATAAAATTTTGTAAATTGATGTATAAAATCTCATTTACCATTAAATTTCATTCATTAATAAGTCTGCCAATTCCCAAAGAATTGATTCTGAGAGTTTTCTGTTTCGGAAGTAAAAAATTTCAGGAAATTGACATTTTTTGGTAAGATGGAAGGGTCGCATGTACCGGATTGTTCCTTTGACTTTTATGCTCGTATGGGTATGGTCTACGACTCTCTGATAAGTTCTGAACTGTCTCATTCAGAGATGTAATTGTACCCATTTTTTACTTGTCAATATCAAAATGCTGTTGCTTATTCTACAGTGCAGGGGTGGCTAACAAGTCGATTGCGAAGTCAATTTTGGTTGATCACTTGCGATGTCTTGACTTAATGTGTTACACTTGTAACTGAACACAACATGTGAAAGTAACATGCAAATGCAACTGTAGTGATATCGGACCTCCGCGTGCTTTCTCAGATGCAGTTTTGTTGGTCCATGTGCAATGCATTTGCGTACAGTTGTAAAAGGAGAATAAGAAATGTAGACAAAGAGTCGTAAAATCAAAAAAGAAAGGCAGGAAGAGGGACAGAGAGAGTAGGTTGGGACACAGTAGAGATAGGAAGGGTGAAGTGGTGGTCCCCAAAAGTCACAACATTGAGTTTCAATTTTTCTTCTGTTTAAAATGTAAGTACCTTTTCTTCATGTTTTAAATTAAATTGTGGCTTTTCTAACCTATCTAAACGTAGAATGTATTTCACACCTCCCCCTCGCCACTTAGACTATGCTTACGACAAGTCGATCGCAACACATTTTTAAGGTAAAAAGTAGATCTTATGTACACAATAGTTGGCCATCCCTGCTATAGTGTATTTTAATATATACCCTGAAAGTTGATTGACTTGTTGAATAAATGGGGAATGAATGGGTCTCGATTTGGGAATCAGAGAATTTACAAATTTTTGGCTAATTTCAGGAGTCTCTTGAAAAATTTGGAAGAGTTGATAACCCTATCCCATACCCTTATAACCATACAATTAGTAGGGTTTAAAGCATAAATTCCTTGATTATAATATCTGAAATAAAGAAATTAATCAAATCTGAAATCATTTGTTAAACATTTTTCTGTAAGATTGCCATTGGCCAAATCATCTGCTTTAGTTAGCTGAATTTGCTTTATCAATACTTGAAATGTTTTTTCTGACTATCATTCAACCTGGTTACAATAATTTAATAATTTTTTTCTTTTTCAGAATTTATTTTGCTAATCTTTTATTTAGTCTTTTATCATTTTAATCTTAAATTTGTTTAATATGAATACAGTAGAGTCTCACAAACTTGGCTTAATGTGGACTGAGAATTTGGTGAGTTTTATGGACTCCCATGTTAACAGTGAAGTGAGAGAAATGAGAATATGTTAATCTACAGATCAAATTTGACCATCTTCTTATTGGCGGGAGCATGTTGCCAACCATAGCAGAATTCTGCTAAATTAACAAATTTGTTTAGTGTACAGTGGCATAGCAATGATGCTAGTCTAAATAGTGGAATTTTCATAAAGGTATTATATGTGCAAATTCATGTATGTATTAACTATGTATCATTAGTGACTATTTCTATTTGCAGTTAAATTTTAATTTAAAAAATTGTCTATTCAGTAGCTACTTTCAAGTTAATGATATTTGTGTTGTAGCAGTGACACCTTGGAAAAAGGGTTATAGTCTTTGTTAAAATTTGGAATTGATGCTATTATCAAGTGTCACCATTAAAGAACAATAACTTACTTGATCCCAGAGTTATAGATATAAAAATTAAATTACATGTATTTTGCTTTTGAAAGATGTGTTTTACGGAATGTTGAATTACTAAGAGTCAAGTTTCTGGTACTCTACTGTACTATGATGCTGTCTTTGCTCTGTAGCTCTTTAATAACATTTATTTCTTTTCAATTCTCTCTATTTATTTGTTCTTGCTATTCTTGGAATTCTCATGCTGAAATATTATATAAACAATAGCATTTTTTTTTTAATTTTTTGGCAAATATCTCGTGTCTCTCTTTATTTTTTGCATCTTTCTTACATTAGATATGTAGGTTTTTAATCTTCACTGATCTCTCCCAGAGAAACCTTGTATATCATGTTTGGAAACCATCAGACAAACTTTATGTAATTATAACTTATATATGTGAAAATGTCCAAACTATTTGATTTAAAGTCATTCTCTCATTTAAAAATAATCTTAAAATGTCACTTTCCATTCAAAAATGAACTATTTCAATTAATGAGTAGTGTGACATGTTTTGGGATAGAATGTATAAATATTGAAATATTTATATCAATTGTTTATTTTTATCATATTTACTAAATGTTTAAAATGATTACCATCTCTGTCTACACAGTTTAGTGTAAAGTATTCAATGTGTTCTGTTTATTTTTTCTAAGATATATAATATAGAATTTATTTATTAAAAAATATATAGTTGTATAATAACATAGTGTATATAGTTTAAAATTATAAGAAAACTGTTTAGTGGAAAGTGATGTCATAAATCTTCTGGCTATTTTTTTTCTATAAGAAAAAAATTTATATCAGAAGTTCTAAAGAATTTTTTTGCAATATATATCATGTATATTGCTTTTATGAAAAGATTTTTTATAATAATAGTTAAGTCTTTTGAAACTGATCTATGCAATGATTTTGATAAAGGTTTCTAAAACTACTGTTTTTCTTCTGTGAAGTTAATTGAAAGGAATGGATATGCTGAAATAGAATGAATAAACTGTTAGTTATTAGGGCTAAATCAAAAATTGGATAATTATAATTAGATAGTAGATAATTTATCATTGAAAAACAGTTGCTTGTTAAGAAATAGTTATTAAGTGTCTATAAAACTGTAGTTATCTTTACATTGAAACATTTGAAATTGAATTTGAAGCAATAATTTTCATTAATGACGATAAAAAAACTAAACTATTTTATAAATTATGGCAAAGTTGTTATTAATTCTAATATTCAAATCTTTGAAATTCATTTTGCTGAAATAATGAATTGTCAATTTATTATTTTGTCTAGATTATTTGGAGAAATTATGACAAAGGCAAAAATTTATTTTTTAGGTATTTCTGACAGTGAAATTTTTATCATATAACATTCTTTGATGATTCAAAAAATTTAAAGATAACATTTTTGTAATTTTCTAAACTTAAAATAATCTAGTATTTGTCATGTATCAAATAAATGAATTTTTATTTCATATTTATTCTATAGTGTTTTATAATAAACTAGTAGCTCGGGATGCCTCCTAGTGGGTGTTCTTTACAAATTTCCATGAGGCACGGTTCCTTTGACTTTTTTGTTCCTATCAATATGCTCTACAGCTCTGTTAAAGTCTGAATGGTAAGATTTATTCTCCGAATAAAGAGGTGGCAACCTCCCCAAACCGTAGACCCTGCACTAACAATACAGTCAAAGGAACCATACCCCTACTCGCGACCCTTTGAGAGATATAAGCCCCTGAAATAATAAATTCCTCTTACAAATATACTGAATTATTTATATTGTTATATTGACCAAATAATAATTTATTGGCCAAATGAATAATAAAAATTTATATTGTTAATTTAAATAAGAATTAAAATTGTTAATTTGAATGTTTGAAATATGACACACGATAGGGGCACCTCTAGTGTCCGTTATCAAACGGTTACAGGACAGACACCCATTGAATGGGTTATATATATAGATATCTTTTGCTTATTGATTGATTATTTGATTGTGAATATAGAAGAATTATTCAATCTTTCTACATTACATTTGAATTATTTACATGAAATTAAATAGATCAACTTAGATTAAAATTAAAAACTACATACCATGCATACAATCTTCCAGTAAATATGTATTTAAATACAAAACAGAACATTTTTGGCATCTTTTAGGGGCCTGCATCAAACTTTACAGAACTTTAGAATGTTTTTTAAAATTGTTTTCTTTTTAATGTCAACTTTTTTGAATGTTTAACATGTATGTTAAACATTTTTTATACTCTACAAATTATTATTATACAATAAAAATTAAACAAACAAAAATGAGTTTATGACAAAAAGAAAGCAATTTTAATAAACATTTCTAAAGTTAGAATCTCTAAAGTTCTGTAAAAGTTCGATGTTTGATGCAAGTCCCTAAAAGAGGCCGAAACATTTCGTTTTGTGTTTAATTCAAATACATATTATTTGCTGGAAGATTGTATTCATGGTATGTAGTTTTTAAGTTATCTATGTTCCAACTGTTATATTTTTATATTAGATCAACTTAATTAGCATAAGATTAATTGATAAAAGTATAGGTAGGTGTATATTCATAAATAGAATACTTAATCACTATCAAACATATAATTTTGATATAAATGTTATTAAATTATATGACTGTTATCAAATTATTAATGTAATATTATCAAATGTAATTAATATAATCCAAATAAAAATTTTAGTAGACAAAATGCATCTGGATGCATTTATAATCTTTTTTTGTTAGTTAGTGTATGCTACATTAATGTTCACATCCTTATTAATAACTGAAATTTTATAGACAACTGATTTCTCATTGATATTTATAGATCAGACTGTAAATAAATAAGACATATTCTTATAAGTATGATGACATTAAAGGAAGAGCAAATATAGCTCTAGCAACATTTTCTGTTTTGAGGGAATTGCAGTGGAATGGGAAAAGACAAAAGTACTTTCATAAGAGAATTGTCTTATGAAAGTACAGGAAATCATTGTCAGTTTGAACTCACATAGTTCAAATCCCATTAGTTTGTAACTGTACTATTTGTCCCATCTAGAGATATAGAGGTTTATATGTTAAGGAATTTGGTTAGCTCAAAATATGGCTCCCTTGAAATTTGAAGTGAAAATTCTGTTTGAACTCTGATATGCATAATAATTAACTCTTATGTTTAGATTAAAGTTCATGTACCTCCATACTATAAGAGAATAATAGACCACAAACAACTCTAATCTGGCCAACATAGCTTTGCTTTTATAGTAACACATTTTTAGGTGTCACCTTATCCATCACTTACTCTTATTGGAATCATGTCATATTTGACCCTTCATGTTTTTTTGCAAATTACATGTTTGGAGACCTTCTGAACCCAAAAAATGTCAGAGGGGGAAATTTGTGTGTGTATTGGAATCTAATTTGTTTAATTTCTTTATTTCTGTTCTGAGATATTAAACAATATCTCAGAATGGGTAAAGTTTAAGAAACAAAATTTGACACGGTAGCTTGTGTATAAAGGGGCATTAATGCTCTTAAATTTTGGTTATTAATTAAAAGTTGACAGGGTGGAGACATAGAAGGGGTCATGTGTCATACCCCCAGTGTGGTTGGACTTTATGAATATTTTACTCGTTATTGGTATTCACAATTTTTTTTTTTATAAAACTCATCTCTATCCTCAAAATTTAAGTTTTTTGACATTTTATAATAGTACAGTAAAACCCAGTTAAGATGTTCTCACCTGAGATGTTTTTTTCTAAATTCAAATTCTGTAGTGTCATCATTTTGCCCATAAGCAGTTGTGTCAAAAGATGTCGCTGGCCTAGGAAAAAATTTACATGGGCCTTGAGAGTGATTGAAAAAAGTAAAAAAGTTGTGGAATGAAGTCCAGGTTCCTGTGAATCTTGGCCGTGAAAATTTTACCCCTTCATCCCACACTCTCATTAGTCCTGCCCGTAAGATGCTTGTTAAAAATTCCTGCATAAGATGTTTCCTCATGAGATGCTACAAAATATCAATTCCATGAAGCAATTTTTACTTGCTTAAAACAATCATGTCGGTGATCAATAGTGTTTTCCTCAGAAAAATGCTTGCACAGAAATTCTATAGCCTTGATAAAAGGTCAGCCTGTCCTTCTATTGAGACTACAGGATTTCAAATAGGGTGAACAAAATCATGCCCCCCCACACATTTTAACATCCATACATACAGAAAAAACCCAAATCCTTTTCATATCTTGACATTTCAAGGTGTCTTGAATCCTTAAATGTAAAAATTTTGGGGGAGATCATTTTTTTAACTGATTGCTACATTTTCCCTCTTTATATATAACAGCCAGGAAATTAAAAATATCGAATACGTATTTATATGTTTAATGTGTCATTATTTAGAGAATTTTTTAGCTTTGGAATAAAAAAAGTTTCTACATTCTACCTCTATTGGAACTTTATTTATTGAAGCTTTTATTCTGAGTCAGTAGATTTTTACATGACTCCACAGCCCTGGTGTCAATACAACTTTCAATAAATGTTAAATTCATTGTAGTTTTTAGTTTTATTTAAATAATATATTTTTTAAAATTAATTTAAAAATGGTTAATTTGACATTTATTATGAATTTTTGCCTAATACATTAACAACTAATAAGTTTAAAATTTTATTATGAATTTATCAAATTTTTTGTAATTAAAAATATTTATTTCTTAGGAATGGACTTACTCAATGAGAAGAGATATGCAGGTAAATATGAAGTTTCTTTATTGATATTTTAGAAATAATAACTGCAATGTAATGACATGCATATATTATTAGTTTATATATATTATATATATATTATAGTTACCACTTTTTATGCAAATACTTATAAAAATTATATAGATAAATTTTAAAAATTGTTCATTTTTTGCCTAATTATTGGTTTGTTCGGAAAGTAATTTCATTTTTTTCCGTGGAAAAAAATCAATATCTTTATAATAAATAAATATTTTATTGAATTATATATCGATCATTTTGGTCAAATACCTGTTGTCATCGTTTCTAGTAGTAGTGTGATTTCACATTCATAAAAGTTTTGATTGTTGCTTACAAAAAACTGATCTAAGTGATTTTTGACATTGTCATTTCAAGTAAATGTCTTACAGTTAAAAAAAATTTGTATTGACCAGAACAAGTAATAATCTGAGTGTGCTCGATCTGGCGAATACAGTTGGTGTGATAGTACGTCCCATCTAAGTTATAACAGTTTCTGACAAGTTACCAAACTTGTGTGAAATTTGACATTATCATGGTAAAACACTACACCTGTTTTGTGGATCAATTCTGGCTTTTTCTGTTTGATGATATTACTCAATTTGTTTACTTGATGGCAGTACACTTTCGAATCAATTGTTAAATTGTTTAGTAAAAGCTCCAAAAAAAATTTCCTTAAAATCCCACCAAAGAGAGCATCTCTCTTTAAGAATATGTGGGAACCCATACATCAAGCTTTTAAACGAAATCAATTTGTTTCAAGTAATCATAAACAGTTCAATTTGACAAATTTAATCTCTTAGTGATTTCACATGTTATTATTTGGCAGTTTGCTTCAATCAGTACCTTTATTTTGTTTTCATTGACTTCAGGCCATCCAGAATGTGGTGCATCTTCAATATTGAAATTGCCGGAATGAAATTTTGTAAACCAGTTTTGGCACTGTCGTTTTGTCAATACATCATCTCCATACATGTCACATGATTTTTTTCTCGCTTGAACAGCATTCTTACCTTTTTGGTAATAAAAGAGCAAAATATGCCGAAAATGCTGCTTTCGATCTTCCGTATTTGATGGGACATCGAAAAAAAACAATTGCACAAAATCAAACAAAATTTTTTACAAATAAGCCTTAAAATGCTAACTGTCAAAATATATAATGATAATACGGTTTAGAATGAAAATGGCAGGAAAAATACGACTAATCCATCTAGTGGTAAAAAAAACGAAATTACTTTTTGAACAACCCAATATATATTTGTTAATTAGAAATTATTATTTGTAAATATATTAAGAAAAACTATAATTTATGGAAATTTATTATTGAAAATTAATTTTGGTAAAAGAATAATCTAAATTATGTCTTCCTGATACATCTCCTTATCAGTATGAGTACTGTTGTCTGTTATTGGGTTAATGGTTGGTTTTATATTTACACCTAAATTTCTTTCAGTGAGATTACTTCTATCAATTGTTTTTCTCAATTGAAATAATACTTTCAGCACCATTGCTAGATGACACCAACAATGCATTTAATGCTAAAGTGGCCAATGTCAGCAGTATTCTTCTTTTACTTTTCTAGAAATATATAGGATTTTTATCCACTGTTCCTTTCTTTATTGCAGCTTTATATTGTGCTATTTGTTAAAGTAAAATATTCTCCTTAGAAAAATTGAAATTTATAAGTGATTTAGATCTTTTAATATATGAAATACACAAAATAGTTGTCAAATTAAAGTTATGATTATTTTACATAATTTGTAGCAATTTTTATATATTGAATTAACCAACGATTACCTGAAAGATCGGGCTAGAATTTGGCTAATTAAATGATTACTATAAAGTAATTTGTCACTAGAGGTAGACGTTAGGTGCCATCTCTTAACTCTCTGGGTGCAGCACTTTTATCCACCAGGATGCATTTCACCAATGCTCTCGTTACTTTTCCTCTCCTGATGTCTTACTTATGCTCTTCCATTCTCATTTTTAGAGTATGATGTATGCTGCCTATGTACCAAGTAAGGTTCTGAGACTCAGTTATGTTTACTGGAACCTTGTGTACTCCACAAAAACTAGTTAAAATAATACGATAAACCATTGAACATAATAGAATGTGTTTAAACAAAACATTTCAGTTTTAGTTGATAAATTAGAAGAGGGAAAATTTTAGCATACTTGTTAGCAAAATTTAATAAATTTATATCTTTGCACATTTTATTTTTTATTTGATTTCTATTTTCAATTAAACACCAAAATAGCTCTAGCTTTAAAAACCAAATGACATACAAAAACTATTTCATATTGAAAGGAGTTGGAAGAAATAGAATTGTAGAAGCAAATCGTCACACTTCAAATAAAATGTTTTCTGGCTACTTAATTGTGGGATAAAGTTGAAATGAAAGACTAATTGTTGCTACACATGGCCAAATAAGTCAAATCTTAGAGTTTACTTGAATGTGTGTAGCAGCAGTAAATGCAAATTTTAAGAATTTTTTTAAAAAAGTAAATACTTTTTAAAAAAAATTCTTTTATGTACATTTCTCGAAAAAAGAAATTTTCCGAGAAAGTATTTACTTACATATACGACGAGGTTTTTATTCATTTATCACAGCTTCAAATTCCTAGGTCATCCTACACATGTGAGCAAAAGATTCTTTGCATTTTTGCAAATAATTTTTTTGAATCATCTATTTGCATTTTTTTACTGGATGCTTACCATTTTGTATTTAAAAATGAAAGTATTTTATCTGGGTCATTTGAATTGTTCTTGTATATTGTAAGAAGTAAAAATGGAAAAGCAATAGGAAAATGAAAGCTTTTGAAATAAATTCCAGATTGAAATTCCAAAATCACATGGAAACCAATATAAGTTTTAATCCATTTGCACATGAAAACAGTTGATTATTCAGAAATCAGAATTTGGATAAACTTGCAAGTGTAATTGATGGAGAGTGGATTTGACTGTTAAGAATTGTGAAAAAGAAGGTTCCCAATTCTCTAGCTTTACATGAACAAATTATGTTGTTAATTTTACAAAATTTTTCCTTAAAGTTTAAAATGCCAGTAATTTTTGTGGACAATGTGTGCATTTATGTTCATTTGATATTTTACTTGTGACTAACTGAAATAAAATTAGTATTGTATTAATAAATCTATTTTTCTTTATTTTGATCCTTAAAGTCACACCTCGTCTTATATGCAAATAAATATGGTATTATTTTCTAAGAATTAAAATTAATTGAAGATATTTAAAAAGACAAATTTATTAAAATAGATTGTGTAAAAAGAGACTTGAATTTTTTTCCATTAAATTGTACCATATTAAAGCAAGGTCATGCGAAAAAAACTGTATAAATACAGTATTGGATGACTTTGTATTGAAATAATTCTATCTATCTGGTTTACGTTCCAAAAAATATACTTATATATATTGCACATGATATTTAAAAATATTCCAGATATTTGTTTTTACCAAATAAAACTTCAAAAATAAGTTTAAATAAATAGATAATATAAGAATATGATGAAATGCATTTCAAATATGTTAATTTTAGTATTTATTATATCAAATATATTTGTAATTACTAAATATTAAAAGAAATCATTAATATTCATTTTTATATCTTGTTAAAATTAATTTATTCAATTTTTATGTAAATAATTTAGTTTATATAAAAGAATTTTAATAATTCATATTGCTAATTTATTTTATAATTAGGAAATTATTCCTGGTTTGTTCTTGGGGCCATATTCTGCAGCTATGAAATCAAAGGTAAATAGAATTATTACCGTGTTTTGAAATTTCAAATATACTTAAATCCTGGTATTTGACAAATAGAATTATAATAGTCATCTATTTAACAAATAATTATACAGAGAATCCATTTTTTCATAAATGATGTAAAGGAATGAAATGATTTGTAATAATGATTTTATAAAATAAAATATATCAAGCATAAAAAATAATTACACATCATCATACATTAAATTTCTGTTATATTGAACTAGATTTTTAATACAGTTTAAGACAGCAGAAATTGATTTATAGTAATATACATACTTTGTTGAGTAAAATTATTTTCTCCTCTGAAAACTACAAAACTTGTTAAGTTAAATACTTGACTGTTATTCCTAATGCTCACAAGTATTTCACTAAATAATCTGTGAAATAATAATTATAGAAAAGACATTATCACTTAAATATTTGTTTTATGTATAATTAAATTTCTCCAATCAGTATTATGTTTAAGAATAATTCAATAGAATAAGTTACTTAAAGTTACTTAGGGTTTGAAATCAGCAGTTGTCCTAGGCAGCCAAAATTTTATTTGGTTTACCAAATGTACTTTCAAAGTTGTCTGGAGGCAACTTCTTTTTGTTTTTCTTAACTTTTTTATACTTTATGCATATATTATCTATTATACTTTATGCATATATTATATATTATTATTAAATAGTAAGTATTTTTTAATAATAATAACTAATAACTAGCAGACAACTTGCAGTACCTGCAGTATAAGACATTAAATAGAAAAAGTTAATTTAGAATTAAAAATTGAAATTTAATGTCCATTAAAACGTACTTTTAGTAAATACACCTCACTAACCTTAATAATGCTTTGCAGTTATTTTGTAAAGTACCACAAAATACAGTGGTGCATTACAAAATAACTGCAAAGCATTATTTAAGGTTAATGAGGTGTATTTATAATTAATGCTTTGTTTATTGGATGGAGTTTATTGTTACTTGTAGTCTGGACTAAGTGAAATATATTCATGCTCCAACTCCAACTACAAAAATGAATTACAAAATTTCTTTATATACCACATTTAAGGTGGAAAATCTAATAGAACCAACTTTTCCTGGCCAAGTCCTACTGGCTAACAATTCAGTGTCAGGTTTAATGAATTGTTACAAAATCTCAATAATGCAAAAAGTCCTATTGACTTCCTATAAAAAATGGTAGAGAAATTTCAGAAATTTTGGAACCCACTCTCTGAGCAGATGATCAGATCTGAAAACAAAAAGCTTATTGCACATTTATAGGCCCACCTCTATCTATCAACGCCTAATTTCTTCAAATTTGCCAAGAAATCTAGGAGTTTAGACAACAAAAATCTCCTTAGCATAACATGTATATAAATAATAAAAAAGAAAAACAAAAGTCTGAGACATCAAACTACATTATGATGACAAATCCTATATGAACATTCTTGATTTCTATGAATGTGTTTTATATAAGGGACTCCCACAAAACAAGAAATATATATTTTTATAATTTGCTTATTTGTTAGATGGCATTAATTTTAAACATGGCTGTCTGTGTGTGAAATTCTTTCATCTTTGTGTATTGGAGTTTTTACTGAAACGTTATGGATTTTTCTAATATTCACAATAATTTTGAAGCAAACAGGAAACTAAAGGTAGGAAAAGACCTCATAATCCAAGTTTTTGGAAGGATAATGAAAAAAAAAAACAAAAATTTTACAGAAGACCTACATGCCTTGTGCTGGAATTAAGCCAGCCATCTTTAATAACATGAAAATAGGATATGTGTGTCTTGTTCATAATTAAATGGAACAAAAGTATATACAAGAAGTAGCAACTTTGTTTTTTCTGGATAAAGTTTCATAGTTAATGGAAAATGGAATCTAACTGAAAATAGTTTATTGGATATATAACAGATTGATAAAGGAGAGATTGATAAACCATTTTGATAAACTTAAACAGTAATTACACATATTTAAGGTAAAAATTACATAATTAAATGCCCTAATAATAAATTAAAACATGAAAACAATAAATAAAATATGAAAATACCGTATAAATAAAATGAAAATTGCATTTACTGGTCACACACCATCAACTTCTGCTTTGTAACATGATGTCATGTGTAAAGCTTTATATTTAAAGTTTAAATGTGTCTGGAAGGGAGGAATTGCTTGAAAGTCTGGATGGCATAACTGGTCAGCGCACCGCACAGTAAGTGGTGGTTGCGGGTTCGACTCTCGCTTTGGGCTTATTCTTTTCTTCCAGACTATTCCGAATTTAAAATTAAATTATAGTTACTGCTTTCATTAAGAGATGGTGCCTAACATCTACCTCTACTTGTTTTTGCTTATTTTTAACAACTGTCATTACTTAACATAGATATGTGACTTAATTATAACAGTTGTGAAATATAATCCATTATTGCTAATGTGAGATTGTATTCTTTGTTTACCAGCTTATATTAAACTTTTTACTTTACATTTTGTTTGAATAAAATTAAGTTGTAATGTCTGGATAAAAAGCATGTCATGTATATTATGATTTATGAATTTTGGAAAGGATATAATACCATTCAGACAGTAAGAAAAAATTCATAATGTGTTAGGGAAGATGCTCCTGAATTTTGAACATATAAATGTGATTTAAAAAGTTCTGTTTGGGAAATTTTAACTAAAGGATACAGAATGTAAGAGGCATACAAAATCTTGACAAAAAAGTGTTACAGGATGAAATTGTTAAAAATTGATGAATAACACACACCAAAAATAAAGCAAGAAAAACACAAAACATGCAAGTGTAATGCAAGAGTAATAGTGAGAAACAGCAGTGCACAACAGATTGCATTTACACTTTTAATGCATTTTTTCACCGCACCTGCAGCTTGAAATATGAAACATCATTCAAACTCCAAATTGAATTTTTGTCAAATTTAGTGTTCAAACTCTCTGAAGTGATTGAAGTTAAACATTTGAAGTTCTGTATAATTAAAATATCTTTAAAAATAGTCTTATCTCAAAAGATGTTGCATTCTGAGATAAGTGCATTCTATACATTTCATTATAAGAGATTCTTTATTCTTTCAAAAATAAAAAAATTTAAAATTTTCTTTCAATTTATGAAAAATTAATTATTTCACCTGAGCACCCTTTTCACAAGTTTCTAGGTAGAATTAAGAGAAAAGGCAATCTGGCCAATCAGCATTTACTGGCACAGTTATATATTTTTGTTTTTGTGTTCATATGTCAATTTGACTTTGTGTTTTTCGATGACAGATTGATGTTTTTATGTGAGAAATAATATTGGACTTCACGCCAAATATTGGATAAGTAAAGTTGAGAAAATTATTATCTTGGCGTTAACAACCTACAGCTATCGCTACAAACAACTAGCGCTTTCAACGAAACTATTTTTGTCTTCTTCAGGTTGAAAGAACAATTAATAACCTTCAAATTTGAAGGTTATTAATTGTTCTTTCAACCTGATAAAGACGAAAATAGTTTCGTTGAAAGCGCTAGTTGTTTGTAGCGATAGCTGTAGGTTTTTAACGCCTAGATGATGTTTTTATGTTTTGGCCCCGGGTGCAGTGCAAACATACAGATGGCAGATTGATCTTTAGATAGTGATTTCATAGATTGGTTTCCTAAAATGGACTTTTTTATGGTCATCTGAAAGAAATTTGTGAGCTTTTGCAAATTATTTTTAATCAAGTAAAATTGATTAAGTTAATAGGAAATTATATAAAAGTATAAAAAGTAGAAGAGAGTAAAGTATAAAAAGAGAGATAAATATCCCCAAAAAAGTTGACAGAAAAGATGGTGAAATTCAATGATACCATAAACATTATTTCCAAATACAAGTATGTTTAAAAACGATTCATAAAGATACAGTGCTACCACAAACAAATAAATTTTCCTTTTTTATTTATAAGATTTTTATTTCAAATTTTCGATATTTTATTATATGTCTGTATATATTTGAAATAATTTTAAATTATTCTAAGTTTGTGTTTTTAATAATTTCATTTCAAATAATGTTTAAGTAATTACAGCAGAGAGTAGATTAACTTGAAAATAGATAATTTTAAATGTGATTCATATGTAGTATAGTTATAATTAGTTCAAATAATAATAAAAATTGTGTATTTCAATCTAATAAAACTTTTTTCTCTTGTTGAATGTGACCATTTTTACAGCATAGTAATATGAATTTTAGACATAATTCCTTAACTAATATTATTTAATTTATATTATGCTAAAGCTTGCATTGAAATTTATTTACAGATTGAACAACTAACACAGTCTGGTGTTACACACATTGTTTGTGTAAGACAGGATATTGAATCTCATTTTATCCGTCCAAATTTCCCAGAAAAATTCAAGTAAATAAAAAATTTTTAAACTAATTATAATATTTAATTATAATAGTTTAATATTTTGTATTTGTTACTACTATGTGTGATTTTAAAAAATTTTTTAAACATGTTGAATAAAAAACTTTATTCCATATAATGATAAAATTTTTCATTGTTGAAGTTTAGTTTTATTCAAAATTAAAATTTTTTTATAATCGACAAACAACTTTTAATATATTAAATTAATTAAAAACCTACTAATGTGAGGTGGGAATAAGGACATATCACACCAGTGATAATAAACACAAACACCCAAGTATCAGTGGAATACATTTAATAGAACGAGAAGGGGTGTACATTAAAATCGGTTAAATTAACAATTAACATGAAATAACCAAAATGCATTTCGGACTATCGGAATAGTCCCTCTTCAGTTGGTATACATATATAAAAAAAGTGAGATACTTAAAATTATACAAGACAAAGGAACCATTATAAAAGTATGATCATTGAGCAATAAATGGGTGTAGAGGAGACAGGCTTAAGGTGGCTTAATTATGTTACGTGGTAGCTTGACATAAGGGTTACTATTATAAACAGTATTAAAATTAGTGGAATAATAAGGTAATTGTTTTACAAAATAAGTTATATCTACATACCATAACAATAGTTAAACCAATTAATTAAACCAAGAGCAAAAAGCAATTTCTTTACATTAACTTTTAATATATTTAATTTGAAAATAAACAAAAGAAATAGGAGAGATTCATAATTAAAACAGGAAAGACAGTAGAAGATACATTAGAATCAACACACATATTGTTCACGTACAGTGGAACCTCGGTATACGTCTGCTTTAGAATACGTCCAATTTGGAAACAAATTTTGCTCGGTATACAACTTAATTCAATTATACACGCCATCTATGAACAAGTAGCACTATCGGTGTACTACACTAGACTAGATGTTCACGGTGCTACGGTTTATAACTTTGTTAAATTTCTTCTGATTTTAATTTGTAAGTAACATTTTATTATTTTTATTAATCATGAATTGCAAAAGGGCAACAGAAAAATAAAAAAATGACTAGAATCACAACGGAACTGAAAAAAGAGATTGTTGAGAAATATGAAGGTGGCACGCGTGTTCGAGATTTAACTGTTGCTTTCCATATTCCGAGAATGACGATATCGACAATCATGAAAAATTAAGACATTATTAAATTTGCTAATGTTGCGAAAGGGGTTAAATCAATTTCTAAACAGAGATCGAAGACATTAGATCATGTCGAGAAATTGCTTTTGCTTTGGATAACTGAAAAACAGTGTGCCGGCGACAGCGTATCGGAAGAAATTATTTGCGAGAAAGTTAAAAGGATACA